CGTTGGTGCCGGGGGAGGCAGTGGTGAAGCCGTGGGTGCAAGGCGGCGTCGGTTCTTGCGGCGGCCACGACCGGCGGCGACGACGGTGGAAGCGGCGTCCGCGACGGCGCCGGCTCTGGTGGAGGCGTCTACACCGAGCGTTGGGCCAGTGCCTTCCCTGTCGACGAGGCCCGGATGGTTCCACCACGCCTCGTGCGATTGGCGGCCGGTGTGGTGTCCGTTGGTTTCTCCGGAGGAGTAGCGGCCGGGGGCTCAACCGATGGGGGTGCTGCCCGGCGGACCATTCCTCGTGTGACCCTGGGTATGACAACAAAGCGCGGCTCCTCGACGCTGGCGTCCTCGATCGGGGCCGCGGGTGCTTCGTCCCCTCCCGGTGCTCCCTCTTCCTTGCCTGGTGCTTCGGTTGGCTCCAGCCAGAGGCTAGCAAGGGCCACCGACAACTCTTCGTTCATGCTGGGGCGCTGGGGCGCACGGGTGTCGATCGCGCCGTAGATGCTGAGCGCGCTAACCGCTTCTTGGAGCATGGCTAGCAGCGTGAACTCGAGCGCCCACGCGGCGTCGATACGCCGAACAGTCGGCGGGATGTGCAAGTCGGCTTGGGTCGTGGTTTGGTTGATGAAATCAGCCCATGTCAGGTCTTGCGTCCAAGAAAGGCGCGTCGTCCGTGGGCTGGGGCTGGTACTTCTCCGGCAGTGGTAGACGGCCCATGACGTGCCCATGGGTGAGGGTGATCGCGGGTGCGGAGAAGCTGAATACTCCCTTGTGGCGGGGGGCCCGTTTCAGGAAGAAGTGGCCCTTACGCCCCAAGTACGTGCCTACCGTGGGTTTGGCGGTCGCACGCTGCAGTAGGCGGAGTTTCCATGTGGGCAACTTGATCGGCAGCTGTTTGGGGGAGTTGTGCGGGTACTGCTTTACTGCAACCGCCGAGACCCGCTGTTTCCGGGTTGGCACCCCTACATCCGTGGCGTGGAGGGTGCCCCCCTTGACGAAGCACCGAGCCTGCTCCAAGCTCTGTCGCGGGCATTCCTTCCACGCCAGTGTCCTGGAGAATCCCGCCGGGCACTCCAGGAACAGCAGCTGCGCCCTGGAGGTGGTGAGGGTGTCCACGATGGCGACGGCCTGGGTGGCCGCTGTATCGCCGCGGCCGTGAGGGTCGTAGCGTCTGCAGGCGTTTCCGATGAGAACTTTGGCAGGAGAGCAGGCGCGACAGCGCGTCGGGTGCCGCGTGGTCTTCGCCTTTCCGCCATCTGATCTCGATGTCGAACTGCATGAACCGCAGCGCCCACCTTTGCATTTGGAAGACAGATTCTGGCTGGTCAACAGCCAGATCAGGGCGGCGCTGTCGGTGACGAGGGTGAAGCGCCGGTGCAGCAGATACGTGCAGATTTGCTCGATACCGTAGAGCACCCCAAGGACCTCCCGGTCGTTGGAGGAGAGCCTCTCCTCTGTTCGTGTGAAACGGTGGCTGGTGTAGCCTAGTGGGACCTCACGGTTCTCGACGACCTGCTTGAGCACCGCTCCTGCGGCGAGTTCGCTGCCGTCCGTGTGCAGAGTGAACGGTAAGCTCTAGTTCGGTACCGCCAGAACCGGGTAGGTATCCAGTGCTTTGGTGACGGCCTGGAATGCTTCGGTCTGCGCGGGGCCCACGGTACGCGACGATGGTGCGCTCGCTCCTAACTGAACGCCTCGTCCCGCAGGAGACCGGTGATGGGTTTCGGGAGGACACCCCCCGGAGGTAGTCGGCGAGGCCTAGGAGCGACCGCACCTTCCCGTCCGTCGCCGGTATCTCCATTTCCTGCACGGCCTTGATCTTGGATGCCCAGGAATTCTACCTCCGACAAGCAGAACGTGCACTTCGTGGAGAATGTCGGAAATCTCCTCGATGACGGCAAGGTGCTCCTCCACGGTGCGCCAGGATGTCGTCCAGCCAGCGTTCGACACCGCCCTCGTTGGAGCACCCAGCCGGCCGTCAACATATCCTTTCCTGACGACGCCTTCCGCCCGGTGGTAACGGGACCAGTGCTCGACGGTGTGCTGCTCCGGAAGTTGGCGCCTCTAACACGACGGGAGGAGACTGACCCGCCGCCCGTCGACGTGACCGCGGGAATTCGGGAAGCGGTGGAGGACAAGAAGATGCTTGACGGCGTCTTCCTCGCTCCCCTGGGCCAACCGAGGTATGCCACCAGACGGCGGTGCCGCTACCCGTCTTCTATGCCCCCCAGCCCATACCGGAGCTCCTGGAAAGCGAAAACTGCTACCGCCTCCAGAGCTACGAGGACGTTCGGACAGCTCTGCCCCCCCGACTGCCCCGACCCATTATTTTGGGCTGCGGTGCCGCCAGAGCGCCCCTGGTGCTCGAAGGCCTGCTACGAGTCGACGCCGCCGTCGAGCCGGACTGGACCACGTTGGAGCGTGTGAGAGCAAACAGCTGGAGTAAAGACGTCCGTCTAGTCCGAACCCCGCTTGTTGGTCGCCACTGCAAGCAGGTACTGACCGAACTTCGACCGGGCGGCGGGTATCGCCCAGGTGGGCCGAGGCAACGGTGGGGATCGTCATGAAGCCGAAGCCGCAACGCATGAACCCGTACAGCCGCCCCCGAACGTTTCTGAAGGCCGTCTTGTGGTGGTTGGCTTCCTTGACGGAATGCTGGTGGAAAGTCGAGGGCAAACCGAGTAGCGTGAAGAAGTTTCTACCTTTAATGCGGTAATGCTGTCGTCGTTCTTCTTGACGATGGATGTTTGGCTGCACATCCGGCTGCACCATGAGGATGTGGAATAGCGGATGGCGACCGCTCCAGCCAGAATTCGGCTTGCTTATTGACGATCTCGGCTTGGACGAAGTTTTACTACTGCCGTCTGCACGTAACGGGCGTAACGCTCTCGTCCACCGACGGGATCGGCACCTCACGACCAGGGAGGGCCGCGACGATAATGGGGTCGGCGGGGAACATCGATCGCACCGAGGCTCTCTACCTTATGGACAGCGGCATCTACTACTCAACCGAACCTCTTCTTTACCCACTACGGTATTCTTAGCGGATTATGACCGTTTTTCCCTCGAATCTTCAGCGGTATTCTCAACAAATTTGGTACTTTTTGGCTATGTTTTCGGAAGGATGGGACCACGCAGAATACAAAAAAGTGATGGGGGGGGAATGGGATGATTTAGAAGTGGGTTCAGTTCAGTTCGCACAGCTATATACTATTATCTCGCCCCCCCGCAAAGGTTAGTTTTTGGCTCTATTCCTGTTTTGGGGGGGCCGTCGGGGTTGGAAGTGGACCACAGTCTTGTGCCAGTTACGCCAACTGGATTTACCTGAACCACAATTTTCGACGACTAAGTCCATTGTGACGTCTCTCCCATGTGTTGCGAGGACCGTGAATTGAAGGTTTTTCGTATTTTGTCGATGAGTACAGCCGCAAACACGTGACTTATTCAACTAGTCTCCTCCAGTTACCCTTCCTATGCTTGCGCTAACCTAGCCGCACACCCGACCCATTTGTGTAGTACTACGTCTGCGTGTTTCAGGTTCTTCACTCGTGTTGCACACGTTCCGCGACCAGTTCCGATAGATACGGTTCGGTTCGCGTGTTTGCGGAGTAGTGCCTTTGCGCTTAACCAACCCTTGACCGGTACCCGACAGAATGTCCCTGCAATTAAGAAACGTCAAGCTCGGGTCGAGGCCTAATTTTGCGGTATTTTCGTTGCCACCGTCGAGCACAGGTCATTGCAACGAATTTATGAAGAAGATTGTAGTCGTAGGATTCACGTGCTGAGCTAGTTGTCTGTGTCTCTCTTCTAACTCAACGTTTCGTGGAAAAACGGAGCCCCTACGGTACTGCCGTATTTCTTGACGTAACATTTATGTACCGCTTCTCCATTCTTGTATCCCAGGTGGACTACTACAATGCAACGGGAGGGAGGTGGGAGCCGCTGCTCGAGCGAGTCGTGGCCCAGGGAGACAGGGCGATCGTAACTCGTCGCCGTGTTGCTGCTCAGGGCCCCAACATTGTTACCGGGGCCGTGGGTGGGGGGCAGGGCGAGGAGGGGGAGGGGGAGGGGGAGGGAGAAACGTGCTCAGTGGTTAGGCTGTGGTGCTTCGAGGAGGACGTCAAGGTGAGTAGTTGCGACTTGTGTGTTGTAAGGCTTTGGCTTGGTCACCCGCATACTGGCGGCGTCAGGGTAAACATGATGTCTGTCTGTTGCTCTTGAGCAAGGGATTGTGGCACCACACGCACGAAAGCTCGCGAGGTATTTTCCTTTTTCATCGTCCAAAGCACTTTTACCCCGGCACGCATCAACTTGTTCGTTTGATGTCATCTCTAGTTAATTGGGAGGTTATGGCCTGATGCAACTGATCAATCACAGGCCGTTCGAACGGGCACCTACACTGGTGAAATCTCTCGAACTTCGCACTCTTCTATATTACCCTTCTTCCTCTCGCTGCCTCGGCAAGGTTTTGCTTAGGCATGACCCGTAGCGAGGGAGGGGCGTACTCATAGTCGTGCATGCCGTAGTCGTTAGACCATTGACCTCACATCCCTACAAAGCCGGGACGGAGCACGCCGGGTTCTCACAGGACCAGGCTCTCACATCACCAAGCGCGAAGCGCCGTGAGATATTCGGCGAGTCGCATGAAGGGTGCGCTGCATCCTGCTAAGGGTTTTCGGCATCTTGTGCTTACTTCCTTGCGTACGGATGACAGCTGCGTATGACTTAATTTATTTTCTCGTGCTTTCACTTCCAGAGACAGTTGTAAGCACTGTGTAACTGCCTCGAGGGTGCTTGACCATTTTAACACAACGTGGTGCGATCATCCCCCTTGCCAGGAGTGAGGGTTCTCCACCCCGCACAACATGATCTACTCGACCACCATTCATGGTTACCGCCAAAAAATAAAAAAGGAGGGGAGCGAGGGGGGGGGGTCTTTTAAGCGAGCATGGCTAGACCCGCCCTCAAGGGACCGATACCTTCTTGCTGCGGCGCACCCGCCGCGAGGCATGCGTAGTGGTGGAGTTGGGTCGGCACTGGTGCGTCAGGTACAAGGTGCAGATGCGCGGGTCTCCATGGCCGTCGGTGTAGGCAGCAATGCCCATGTCATATTTGTGCGCGGAGACAGACCCCATCAGAACGGTGGACGGGCACCATGTACACGGCCCTAGGTTTGCTAGAGGGAGCTGTACTGTCTCAGTAACCTGGTTTTGCCATCAAAGGAGGAGAGGACAGGTGGTGACGAGCTGATTGGGCTGGTTGACCCTTCGGCGCGAGAATTTCCAGACCAAGAACCCTACGTGCAACGAGGGAGAAAACGAGGAACCGACTGGGGAAGCACAGCAACGAGAGCGTGTACCAACGGAGCGGGTCGAGTTTGGTCGTGCTAGGACTGGCCACAGCGGCACCGGAGCAGCGGCACCGGAGCAGCGGAACCGGAGCATGCGGACGACATCGAACCGTCGCGCACGGACAAACATCTCTTGTGTTGTCAATTATTTTCCGTTTTTTTTCCTGAGTATAGGTGTTGGGTGTGTGAGAAGCGGCAGAGGTGGCGCGGACAACCCGGGTGCCTTAATTGTGTACCTGCATCGTGGAAGGCCCCTTTAATATGGAACGATTCCTAGTCAGTGCTGATGTTTACACTGCTGTGTCTAACACAGATGATCTGGATATATTCGGGTGATTGTCACTTGCAATGATGGCTTTGGTTGGCTGTTTTTTTCATTGAATGTCCACGGACTCATTCTGACAGCACTTCAGACAGCAGCTGCATGCCCCGAGCTTGTGTACCATGCTTTTTGCCATGGTGTTTTTTTTGTACAGACAGCAGAACGCTGTAGTCGACAAACTTTCATTTTGGTAAAGTGCGGGACAATGATGGTGATGCTGCTGCTGTAGTCGAATTGTAGTGTGTAGGCCTGTAGTTCAGTTTTGAGCACGCATACGTGCTGCAGGGATTGTAGGTGTACCTCGTCGGGACTGCGTACCCTTTTCTTTCCAATAGTGTGCGTGTTCTTTAGATCGTCTGATGGCTCCAGCATTTTTGTTACCACGGACCGAGTCTTTGCTAGATTCTGGGATTAGTGACTGACATGAGTTAAATGTGAAGACGACAACAACAACAACAACAACAACAACAACAACAACAACATACATTGCTTTCGACTGTTGTTGCGCCATCAACTTCGTCTCGAAGAAATACGCTGCTGTGGACCGCCCCCGGCGAAAGACCGTCGACCCCGCCCGTCTCATATCTCTAACCTAGGGCAGAAAATATAAATATTTATATTTCCCCCTTTTTTTTCGTGACGATGAAGAATTGCTGTCGCCAAGCCGATGTCTATCGCCCGCAGCTACCCACTCATGTCTAATCATCCCACTTTTTTTTTTTGGTTCTCGGTCAGTCTTACCTAGACCAACGTTGTGAACGGTGCGCTAGACATTGCCCTTCGTCCGGTTCTGGCCCGCCCGTTTGTATCAATGGCCTCAACCTCGCGGCGTATCTACTACCAGAAGTCGTATCTCGTCCCATCGGGCAGAGTTTTGCGTGAAGCATCTTGCACGTTACTCACTCTCCGAACATGTTTGAATCGGTCGCGTGCTGCTGCTGCTGCTGCTGCTGCTGTACCCCCATTTCCCATGTCGTATGCTGCTCGTTTGCATCTTGTGTCCTTTCTAGATCAACGTCACGCATGCCGCTCTACACGTCGTCCTCCGTGCCTTGCGGGATTTCAAGAACCTCAGCGGTGCCAGCAGCTGCTGCTGCAGCAGCAGCAGCAGCGGTATGGGTGCGGGGACAGGGGAAGGCAGGCTAAGAGTGGACGGCAGCGGTGGCAACGTCAATGGCGCTGGCCCCTTGTTGTCTCCCATGAGCCGCTCAGACGGCGGTGCCGGTGGTGTTGTCGAGACGACGCTTGCGGCCGCGGCGCAGCCGCAGCCGCAGCCGCAGCGGTACTCACCGTTCTTGCTGCAGAACAGAACCGGCCTTAAGCTGGAGTTCTGGGCACACCAGGACAAGGTCGACAGGTGCGACACGCCTTTGGAACCCCGAGTCTCACACAACACGTTTCAGACAGTACGAACAACGAAAGCATCGTGGAGGCAGCCGTGTGATGGTCCGTTTGCCCAACGGGCTGTTTGACGTTTGTCATAAGGCGGTGTATGACGTCATGCGGAGTTGTCCCGTTCAATCGAATGGCCCGGTGGTCGTTTCATTATTTTTTTTTTTTCCCCCGGTGTTTACCATCGGGGTTGGGTTTTCGTCGCTTGGCAACGACGTTGTAAAACAAGCCGCCCCTCCCGGTGTTTTGCCATCGGGGTTGGGTTTTCGTCGCTTGGCAACGACGTTGTAAAACAAGCCGTCCCCCTCGGTGTTTGCCATCGGGGTTGGGTTTTCGTCGCTTGGCAACGACGTTGTAAAACAAGCCGCCCCCCCCGGTGTTTGCCATCGGGATTGGGTTTTCGTCGCTTGGCAACGACGTTGTAAAACAAGCCAATTCACTTCGTGAACTCGGCAACCAGGTTACCGTTTTTTTTTTTTTCCTCCGTTTATTTTTTTTGGGCGGTAACCATAATGATGGTTGAGTAGATCATGTTGTGCGGGGTGAACCCTCACTCCGCGCAAGGGGGATGATCGCACCACGTTGTGTTAAAATGGTCAAGCACCCTCGAGGCAGTTACACAGTGCTTACAACTGTCTCTGGAAGTGAAAGCACCAGAAAATAAATTAATTCATACGCAGCTGTCATCCGTACGCAAGGAAGTAAGCACAAGATGCCGAACACCCTTAGCAGGATGCAGCGCACCCTTCATGCGACTCGCCGAATATCTCACGGCGCTTCGCGCTTGGTGATGTGAGAGCCTGGTCCGGTGAGAACCCGGCGTGCTCCGTCCCGGCTTTGTAGGGATGCGAGTGGTTTTCGTCGCTTGGCAATGACGTTGTAAAGCAAGCCAATTCACTTCGTGAACTCGGTTAACAGGTTATCGTTTTTTTTTTTTTTTCCTCTGTTATTTTTTGGCGGTAACCATAATGGTGGTCGAGTGGATCATATTGTGCGGGGTGGAGAACCCTCACTCCGCGCAAGGGGGATGATCGCACCACGTTGTGTTAAAATGGTCAAGCACCCTTGAGGCAGTTACACAGTGCTTACAACTGTCTCAGGGTGTGAAGCATCAGAAAATATATTAACTCATACGCAGCTGTCATCCGTAAGCAACGGAAGTAAGCAAAAGATG